GTACACTTCACTAAGCCTCTGCCAAACCTAAGCCGTGCTGATTTGCTTCCGGAACAGTTATAGCTTTCCCCCCCCCCACCTCCCCTACTCCCCCGAGACAAAACATTTACCCTCACTTGCCCCTACTGCTGTAAAACACTTTCCTGCCATTTTTTGCACAGTGGGCGTTACCAGCCCGGGTGCAAAAATGACACACTCAAGTGATTTTGGGACCTCCGGAACCGTTTGAGGGCAAATGAATACAAATGTTTTTCGTAGGGGTGATATATAGCTTATCCGATTTTCTTCAGTCGGGTTCAATCGCCTTGAAGTCAGTTAGTGGCGGGCCTTTGGGAGATAACTTCAAGATAGAGGTCGAAAGCAGAAGTCTCAGGAGAGAAAGCAACACATTCACACCACACACACACACTCACACACACAAACACAAACACAAACACAAACACAAACACAAAAAAGGAAAAAAGAACAAGGAGACAAGAAAAAAATTGAAAAGAGTACAGACAGGCAAAGGCAAAAAAACACACCCGCCCTTACAGATATCACGGCGCGTATTTGAAATGGCAATGTGGGCAATAAAGCATTTATTGGGCCTTCATCTCTCTTTTCTTTTCCCGTCTGACTGACTCTGACACCATGGAGTACACCTGTAGTTATGAGACCCGGGGCAAGGTCCCACTTGCACGGATTAAGAGATTCTGGCCGTTGATCTTTGCTATCTACAGTCAATATCGCTTAGTTCCTGTAAGTGGCACCTAGCCCCCGGGCCTCTGTGACGTGGACGGCCGCTGAACGTTTCCGGAGATGTTCAGTAGATCAACGGCGGAGGTGGGTTGGCGGAACGATGGATTTAGACGAAGGGAGTAGTATGGTGGAAACCCCCTGAGGATGACCGAGTGGCTGCGGTCGAAACCGGTCGGGGAGCCATATATATCCCAACCGGCATGCAATCTTCTTTGTACTCGTGTATTTTCATACCTTGTACGTGAACGTACATGAGCTTTTGATCTTCCTTTGCGTTTTGCATGAGTCTTGATCTATGTATCTTCCACAATCTATCAGTTACCTCTGTGACGGCCGCAGTACTTTGGTTGCTTTTTCAAACTCGGTGGGTGTTTTATATGAGAGCACGTGTTTTTTTTGCGCATTTGAAACTCGAAAGTGTCATCAACGTACTTGCTCCAAACAAAAAAAAAAGAGTAGTTTGAACGTAGGTGCTGTATGTCGGACTCACTCTATCAGTGAAACGAGATTTGGATGCTAGCAAGAGGTGAGAGAGCACGCGAGCTTGGTCACATCCTTTCTCCTTTTCTGGCCAAAGATGAGGGAAAAAAAGAATAAAAGCACATTAAGACCTTCACTACTATTCTTTACAACTTCGTTCAATGATCAACCAAACAAAGAGCCTTCTAACGGACAAAGCAGTCAACAATTTAGCCAACCAATCAATCAATCAACCAACCAATCAATCAATCAACCAACCAATGAATCAATGAATCAATGAATCAATGAATCAATGAATCAATCAATCAATGAATCAATGAATCAATCAGTCAATCAACTAGTCAGTCCGTTGATCAATTAACCAGTAGATCAGTCCATCGATCGACCAATTACTTTGGTTATTGCGATAGGCATCAATCCATCAATTATAAGAAATCAGCTACTTTCTCCCACTTAACCTTCAACCTACTGTAGACAAAAACACACATCCGATTCCGTTTCCTGTTCAACTTGGTGCTCAGCAGAACGAACGAAATGTCTGATCTGCATTTCTCCACACCGGAAATGCACAGACCTATCGATTTATAAAGCAAATCTGAGATACTTACAAGTTACAGCCTTCTATCCACCCAAAGAATACAGATTAGAGGGCCTCCTAACCCCCCCGGGAAGAGAGATAACAGGGCCTTCTTAACCTCTACGAATATAGATAAGGAGGCTCCGACCACACTTCTCAGATCATTTCGCTAACATAATCTCCTTGAAGTTCTCGCCTTCGCTCTCTTCACTCTACCCTTACTCCTTCTAGCTTCGCTCAGGCTCTCCATCAGCTTTCGGCCCCACCAAAGATCTCTCTCTAATTATGATTCATGAATTACAAATGTCTACAAAATCGGAAATTGCCAACTACTGTCAAACAATGGACAGCGGCTTCGATACCCTAGGCCCTGGGGGCAGTGGGGGGTAATTCTTAACGCCTCCCACCGTGGTCACCCACTCGTAATCGCACAATGTGATGTGAACCTTAATGGACACTTAAAAAGGGGATAAGACTTCACCTCTTGTACATCTACAAGTTCCGGACCTTGATGTACTACACCCTCAAAAAAACTAATCTTGGCTAGGACACGTGTCGAATTATGGTCCATGATCATAGACCTTATGTGAGGGCTCGAACTGGTGACGATGCACTTGTATAAGTTGTATTCTACGGAGTACATGATGTGTTTACGGCGTAACGAGATAGATCTTCCGTGACGTTGGATCTCGCCATGAGAGAGAAGAGAACTTGTTCACCGTCCGATCTCACCATGAGAGAACTCTGCTGTTCCGTCTCATCCGTACAGACGGTACAGTCATTTCCAAGATACATCCATTAGCTGGCTGAGCCTGACTCAAACGTTCACGGACGTCGCAGAAGGTCCTCTCTCTCTCTCTCTCTCTCTCTCTCTCTCTCTCTCTCTCTCTCTCTCTCTCTCTCTCTCTCTCTCTCTCTCACCTGCCTGTGTGTGTGGGTGCAGCGTCTACGTGCTGTGCAGATGACCGACCGTGCCTGTTGGGGGATATAACCAAGCCTTCACGTGGAGTGAGATCATGCAGCCGCCTGGCAGTGAAGTTCGTCCAGATTCATTCAAACCGGGGAGGCATAAGCCGAAGGAATGGGATAATTGGTAGAAAGCGCCCACGACAAAACCGACAAGGTTTGGCGTGGGCGCTTTCTACCAATTATCCCGGAAGGAACTGTCAGGCTCCCGAGGAGGGGCAATGCAGGGGCGATGCAGCCAAACATCGACGGTGAGGATCGTCCAACTCCTATAGGCTATAGCACCATGCAATAAATCGTTACTCCCTCCTTTCTCACAAAAGGGAGTGACGTTGATCGGACTCTATCCACTGTGGGAGTTTGCTTGTTCCCCCAAACTTCCTCCATCGGAAATCAGCTTCAGTACCTTTCTGCCTCCCTCTCGACCTCTCGACCTCTCGACCTCTGGACTTGTCCGCCAGACCTCGTCGTCCTATTTCTCCACTAAATTGCACCTACTCCTGCTGAAGTCGACCTAAGTTTTACTCTCATGAGCCCTTCAGAGGCATACTTTCGCGTGGGCTTTATCTAGTATCTACCAATTTCCCCCTGCTTCAAGGTCGATTGCTTCTTGGGGTCCCGCGGGGGCAAGCGGCGCGCTATTGCCTGTGAACTGCTCCCAGTGGTCCCACGAAGTTTTAGTACCCGCTGGGACTTCTCACACGTCATCCCCTCCTCCAAGTGGGTTTTAGAAAATACCACCGACTGGTCAAAAAGGGATAAACAGAACCTCCGGCAACTCACCTACGTCTCTTCAAACTACAATCTGTCAAACAAAATAAAAAGCCTACAAGTTCAGCAACAAAGAAAACCCCTACAGCCACTGCTCCTCCCTATAGACGACTAGTTTCTCAGTTTGTTTCTGCTTGGTTGTTCTTCCGCAGTTGGCCCTGTACCCCTCTCGCCCCCCCACCCCTCCTCCTTGCGAGACTTCCTTCTCCAACGCGCCTAGGTGGTCGTGGCAATCCTTTTCTCTCAGCGCATCTCGAACTCTTGTTCGTCCTCATCTTCCGGCACTACAGTCTTCCCCCGAATACAACGTACGGTCATGATAGCTGAATTTGGTGTATCTTTTCGGTCTAAATTCAGCTATAATGACCGTACGTTGTATTCGGGGGAAGACTGTAGTCGTCGCCTTTCTGTCGGACAGGGCGGATTTCTTTTCCACACTAGTCGCTGTATAAAGTCCTTTTCTCGTCTTTGGCGGATTCCTTTGTCGATCTCTTGTTCGTTCTGTACCACGTTTTCCTCCCAGTCTCTCGTCTCCCCGAGGCGGGAGCCGTCATACCTCCCAGCTCTCTTCCCGTTCGGTCGAGCTTCCTGCTAGTTGGGACACAAACCCGACTGTCACAGAAAGACGACGACTACGGGTGCACTACTGCAATTAACTTGTTTGCTCCCTCCTGAGAAGAGCGCGTGGTGCGCGCCCCTGCCTCGGTCTATATCAACGTCAGTTCCTGCCTAAGGGCTATGGGAGCGAGCACGCCGCAAACCTCGATGAGAAGAGCGCGTGTGGTGCGCGCCCCTGCGCTGAGTGCGCTGATAGTATTCCTTGCTCCCTACCGTTGGCGCGCTTTCGCAGAGCGCGTTGTCCGCACCCCTGCGCTGAGTGCACTCATAGTATTCCTTGCTCCCTACCGTTGGCGCGCTTTCGCAGGTCTGTGCTTTGTCTAATATCATGGATGGGGAAAAAAACAAGAAAATAAAAATAAAAATATATATATAATGTAAAGCTCTTCCTGACGTCCTGAGTGTCCAGGCAGCGACTGCTTACGACGATTGTCTATCGACTTGACGATTGCCGGAGTCTCACCCGCGTGGCAGGCAAAAAAAAAAAAAAAAAAAAAAAAAAAACATCTATGCTGGGGCTCGAAGAAGAAGAAGAAGAAGAAGAAGAACTAAATGAAAAATGGATAAATATTTAAAAACGGAAGGTAGTCAAAATATCTTGGAGAAACACTCAGTGACCCTTAGAGGCGGACTGGCCTCCATCTCGTACAGCACTTAACAAAACATGCTACGCACGGCCGCCCCCCAAAAGACAAAAAAAAAAAAAAAAAAAAAAAAAAAAAAAAAAAAAAAAAAAAAAAAAAAAAAAGACATGAAATAGCTACTCACGGCACTTTCTAACGTCCGATCGACAAACTCAAACCCCTTTTCCTCCTTAGAACTCACTACTATTCTAGTATTCCTCCTGCAACAAATGGGGAGTTTGTTTTTCGGACTTTTTCCTATAATTCGCTTTTTTTCCGACTACCAGCAAACGAACTTCAGGACGCGGACTTCGCAGCAGGGGCATTTCAGCACATATTCGTTCGTCATGGATCCGCCACCCTTGCCGGAATCGGACTTAAAACTCTTGGCGCGGTCGGTTTTGGTGCTGTTGGAGTTGGAGTTGGGAGAGGGAGAGGGTGAGGGCGGTTTTTCCTTCTGCTCCTTCTGAACAGCTGGTCGTCGTTTGGGGTACGGGCTGCAGCCGCACCACCTCCCGAGGTCCTTGTCTGGCTTGTCTGGGCTGGGTTTGAATTTCGGGCTACACAAAGGTTTACCAGGAGGAAGAGAATTTGGAGGAGGCTGGGGGCCAGGCGGATAGGGACCAGGCCGACGCAGATCCGGACTGCTGTCGACGACGGGATCGGGTCGGGAGTCGGGCAACACGGAGGACGAGGCAGGGGAGTCGTGACGGAGGGTAGCAGCAGGCTGGTCAGGAGGAGACCCATCAGGTCGTTGCCTAGCGACAGCTGGCGGAGGACTGCCGTTTCTGAAAGAGCACGTGGCAACGTGGGCATCCAGGTCAGCATAGTCTATCCTTCGGCTGCAACCCGATGCCGAGTACGGACACGGCCGAAGGCACTTGTTCGCAAGATGGCTCTCCTTCGAGTCAGTCGCCCCTACTCGATACCCACACGTCTCGCACAGCGGTGTGTTGACGTCAAACCGGCAAGACATCTCGTGCAGTGCGCGATAGCGAGACAGAACAACGGCTTCACATCCATCTTTCTCAAACGAACAGTGGACAGGACGGTACGCACAGATTCGCACGTGCTTCTCCAGATTGCGTAGAACCATAACTTCAGAGCAGGCTCGCCTTCTCGAATCAGCAGCAGCTCGCTTGTCCATCTCCTCCTTCTCCTCCTTCTCCTCCTCCTCCTCCTCGCTTCTTCCACTGCTCCTCGAAGTAGCGTTGGCCGGAAGGAAACGATTGGAACAGATATCGTAACTCAAAGAAAAGGGGCATTTCACTCTCAACCCCCATAAGAACTCCCGATAGTCCCTCGCCGGAGAAAAAACATTACCTTTTTGACAGTATTTGTGGCAGCCCGGCAATGGACAATTAGGACTTCTTCTGGAGAGGACTCTCCTCTGAACACAGGGGCCACAGAAAGTGTGCCCGCAAGCATTCAAGGTACTTGCATCGAGCATCAGCCGCTTGCAGAGAGGACAAGAGTACTGCGCAGAAATGTCGTTGCAAAACAGTTCTAACGACCTTTCGACGCTAGGGGCTCGCATTGAGTAACGAGAATTGGGCAGCAGCTCCGCACCGACGCGAGCGAAGCCAACGCGAGGAGCGGCATTCTTGACGAGTGTGTCGCTGTAGTGGTAGATAAAAGAGGACAGGAATGCCTCCAAGTCTTTCGACGACATGTAGGGATCAGGTTCAATTTCTATCTCCATCACTCCCCCCTGGTGAACTGAGTCGCGGCCAGGCATCGGACAGCGACGGACACCAAGGCAGCAAATTCTGAGCAAAATGATTAGATATAGATAGACCTTGGGGGAACAGGTTTGGGTCAGCCTCGTCGCACGGGCCCCGAGGTCTCGCGGTATCACACACCAACGCAGCAAAATGAATAGACAGACCGGAGATCGGGATCGAGCACGGCTCTGATCCCGATCCCGTTCTGTATCCGGAGTCGGGACTGTCACCAGAACAGAGGAGGGGAAACGGTTGGAGAATGGTCGGGATAGCTACATGGTAATGCGTGCTTGGTCGGGACTGTCACAAGCACGCTTGGCTTCGGTGAGGAAACCACCTGTGTCCTTGACTCCTTATCGTTATTCCAGATCGAGGAATGAGGAAAACGGAGAGAACCAGCGCGAGGTGGGGAGGGTACGCGCGCACACACACACACACACACACACACACACACACACACACAC